TTAACCCCGATCCCGATTGCGATCCCGACCCCATACTTGATTTCGATCTCATCCCCAATCCCAACTCCAATGGAACCGTTGCTCTCCTATTGCTGTTACCCGTGTCCCTCACCATGCTCCTACTTTTTGGGCGTTTCCCCCCCCCGGAAAAAGTCTCTGTCTCGATCATCTTTGCATAAGGCACATAGAGAGAGAGAGAGAGAGTCTCAGAGAGAGAGAGAGAGAGAGAGAGAGAGAGAGAGAGAGAGAGAGAGAGAGAGATAGAGAGAGAGAGTCTCAGAGAGAGAGAGAGAGAGAGAGAGAGAGAGAGAGAGAGAGAGAGAGAGAGAGAGAGAGAGAGAGAGAGAGCATGTCGACGACGAGGTGAAAGACGGAGAGGAGGAGGAGGTCGAATAGATATATAGAAATAAAAAAGGCGACAGTCTTCATTATCATCGGCGAGAACCCGATCAGGTCTATTTGTGGACAGTTCGTGAGCATACTATTTACCCACGTGGGCTATGTGTTGAGTCAACTTGAGTGTTTAAATCGTTCTTTTTCGTTTTGGGGGGCGAAGGATAAAAATATTATCCCCCGAAACTCTCACTTTCGAAATTTCTTTCTCTGATTCAATGCTGATCTCATTGTCTGCTTCTGAAAAAATCGCTCTCATTTGGCAATGTGCAATTTCCTTTCGGACGATACTTCCCATGCAAGCATCCGTATGTAAGTAAATGACGCTTTTTTTTTTTTTTTTTTTTTTTTTTAAGCCGCTTTCCTGTTGGGCCTGTTCAACTCATTTACAGGATGATTCGCACAAGGGTCCTCTGTATGCCCTCTTCAAAACTCGTGAAATTTCCGCATGCGATTTTTTTTATTTATTTATTTATTTTTTCTTTTTTCATGTGATTCTTTGAATTTCTCTCTGCTATGGTTGGCGGCTGCTGTTTAGTAACTACCGTCGTCACCCGAATAGAACGCCCGATAATTATCGCCGTATCTGGGCTGAAAGTTGTACCAAATACAGGTATAATGACCGGGCGTTCTATTCGGGTGAAGACGGTAATTGGATTTCTAAGAGTCACTGTAATGTAATATGATGTGACAACCCTTCTTCCCTCTTCACGAGTCTTCAACGCCCCCTCAAAGAGGGCTCCCACTCTCTGCCGCGGCAGGGGCGGCGGGAGGGGGTCGACTTATTACTATTGAATGGAATTGGTTGTTCTTTATTTTTTTTAAATGAAATTGTTTGTGTTCTTTGTGTCTATAAGTTATTTATTTTGTGTTCTGTAACTTCTGTGTATCTAACCTTACTACGTGACTACGTCCGTCCGTTTTTTACATTTCCGTGACTACCAGCTACAGCAGAGAGGAGGATATTACCGTCATCCCCGGAACACACCGCACCCTCATTTTGGCTACAGCTACAGCAGAGTTGTACCAGCTACAGCAGAGGGTGCGAAAGTCAAGTCCACAGGGCTACAACTTAGTCTTACACGATGCTGCCAGACCTGGAACACTAAGGGCCAGATCCCACTGGCAAAGAGGATTGGAACGAGTGTCTGAATCTGGACGTGTTTGTCGCCCGGTGCAGAAAACTGTGATTGATCTGCTTTTCTGCATCTCTGCGCTGAACACGTCCAGATTCAGACACTTATTCCAATCGTCCTTGCCAGTGGGATCTGGCCCAAAGTCTTATTTTATTCACCTGTCTTCGCCAAACAACAAAGGGAAAAGTTATAGTAAAGACCCCCCCGCGACAAAACTTTGGCCCCTCATACAGGACTAGGAATCTGGGATAATAAGGGTCTGATCTGAGATTCCTCGACCTGGGAGAACACTTCTTTTAACCTAAAAGGATGGGGCCAAAGGCTCCAATTCTGGTCGCTTTTTTTTTTCTTTGTTTTTTTTTTCTGAAAATTTGGACCATTTCTCGATTTATGCGTGTCATCCTTGCGCAGGGGCAATGCTAATCTTCTCTGTATCGTTCCAATTTGAACGGATGTCCCGAAGGACTTTTTTTTTCTTTCTGGAATTGCCTCCCGAAGAGCGAAACTGCACTTCTCTGTTAACCTAATATCAGAACGGACGCACGGTAAGAGCAAGGAGAGTGTTTTGGCCGGTCTGCTTTTGCTGTGCGGGCTTGGCAGCGATGGCTGTCGTCACTGAATCCGGAAATTGGCACTTTATACGAAAGAGGGGTGAGGGAAATACTCTGCAAGGCGAGATAACTCTCAGCCCCGTTCCTTTCGGCTAGTCCGTGGCGACTGTCTGTACCTGGTCACTAGATCACGACAGTTTGTTCCTATCCAAAAATTACTGAGAACCGCAGCTGTTGAAGGTCTCCGATAAATCCGCTGAACAAGAGTGTCGGTTAGGGAGAAGGGGCTGCGGGCACTAGCGAAGTGAAGGAGGGAAGAGAGAGAGAGAGAGAGAGAGAGAGAGAGAGAGAGAGAGAGAGAGAGAGAGAGAGGGTTAAGTCAAACAGCTCACAACGGTGAGCGTGGTGACAATCACGAGCTGGATTTCGGTTTTTATTGTCCCAGCGTGAAATCCCAAAATAAAATTGACCTCTTGATCGTCACCATGGCCGCAGTCGTCAGTTGTCTCAACTTGTCTGTCAATTATTAAAAAAAATAAAAAATAAAAACTAATAATAAGAATAAATTAGCTCTTGATTTTCACCGTGGTGACGCCGTGACGGTTGTTAGATTTCTCTCTCTCTCTCTCTCTCTCTCTCTCTCTCTCTCTCTCTCTCTCTCTCTCTCTCTCTNCTCTCTCTCTCTCTCTCTCTCTCTCTCTCTCTCTCTCTCTCTCTCTCTCTCTCTCTGTCTGTCTGTCTGTCTATCTGTGTGTGTGTGTGTGTCACAGTGTGTGTGTGACCTTGCTGTGACCAACCTAGCTGAGCCGCTGTTTCTTCCACAATCTCCCAAGCCCCTCACGAACGCACAATTCAACCTTCAACTCCCTCCACCGCATTAACAGCTGGTGCAAAGGAGGAGGATGCCAAAACCAGCGCCAGACTGTGACGAGGTATGGCCGTGATGGACACGAAAAGAACCGACTTCAGAAGCCACACAGAATAAGTCTAGGCCCTTTAAGGGGTCGTAGCTTCTGGTGTGGGTGAGTGATAGTCTGCTTTGATTTTTGTCACAGGTACCTTGAGGGCAGTGGTTGGTGGTCCCCACCATCTCAGAGGGGTATCAGTTGCCGGGCAGTGGCTGATGCTTAACCACAGCCAGGGTTAAGGTGGTTTATCACTTACAGTGTAATCAGTTAGGCGATTCTGCAGACTGTTGAGGTTTCAGCCTCCTGATGAGTCAGTCGCTGAAACTCCAACGAAACAGTTTGTCACAGCCCCTCGTTTCTTGTCCTCTTCTCCCTTGTCCCTCTCTGCCTGCGGTTTACCGCGCAGTTCTGTTTGACGATATATGGTGTATGTCACTGTATGGTGTCGTGTGGCAGCCTGGCAGGGGCATAGGACATACTTGCCTCTACAGACCGATCCTCCCTCATACTACCGGTAGCTGCTAATCTTTCGAGATGAGGCATGCAGATCTGCAAGCCACAGATGGACAGCTGTCGCAATGGCCGGGACTTGCTGAATGACTACAAGCGTCATAAGCCATTCGTCAATGAACAGTAGACTCGATCCAGCAGCCAAGACCGAAGGCGCAGAAGCAATGAGGCCTCATTAACTGCAAAGAAGATGGGGAGGAAAAGATAACAAGTTGAAATGGACTCATGGAGAATGGAGCCTGATGGAGGCCAAGTGGATGGGGAGCTGATGATGACAAGCCCACTGGCAGGTTTTTATGTATAATGCTGCTATGCTGTCGGGTCATGTTGGCGTCACTGAAGGAGGAGTCAAAAGACTCGAAAGGGAGGGAGGCGGCGGTGTGCCTTGGCGTCACTGAAGGAGGAGGTGTACTCGCACCGAGTCGGACGCGGGGCAAATAGACACTTTCGCGGAGCATGAACTGACCAGAGGTTTAAAATGGAGACACAATAGTCAATGTGGAGCAAGACGACCTTGGTTGTGGTTTCGGGCTTTCAGCCAGACTGTTGGGAAGAACGATAGATGCACATTGCACAAGTTAGGCAAGCTCAGTGCAGCGGAGGATTGGACCGTCGTCGTACGAGTACTAGTACTCTACGAGTCTACCATGCCTTACACGACCGGTGATCACAACCAGAACTGGAATATGGGTGATGCTGACTTGGATTTCCATCAGCAGCAACAGTCAGCCGGAGGAAGGCCTGGGAGATTCTCTTCTCTCGAGACGAACTACAACTATAATCATGCAGGAGCTAACGACTCTCGTTGTTTTTCTGTTGATGGTGACCCCACTCCCGATGCTGACGTCTGTGGACAAGCAGTAGCATCTGACACAACTGCTTCAGATCAGCAGCTGGGGGCTGGCACACAAAGAGCTGGCGATGATGATGGAGATCATGGCAATGATTGCATGGTGACCGTGAGCGCAATGATAGGTAGTAGTAGTGGCCTCAAACGAGGGAGGGAGGAGGAGGAGGAAGAGGAGGCGGAGGAGGAATTGCCTCACAGTCCTCATGATGACAGCCTGATGGCACCTCCCAATGAGAGCAATGAGAAGTATCCGGGTGAGGTCGATGAAGAGCGCGCGGCGTTGGAGACGGTTGGCCCAGAAGGTGCAAAGCCCTCTCCAGAAGTCGAGGGCCGGATTGAGGAGATTCGCGCAAAGATGAATAGCTTCACGGAGACGGTGTCAGGGATGTTGGAAGCGGGAAAGAGTTACTTCAACGATGCAGCAGCAGCCTTTGAAGACAGAATAGTCCAGCTTCACCAACATCACATGCAGAAATGGGAGGAGGAGATTAATCAACTTCTACAGATCGACGAGATTAACGAAGATATAAGCTTGCGGCTGGCAAATGCACAATCTATCTACAGCAGCTTTGGACTTTCGCAACGCTGCAGTGAAGACTGAATTGAAACATGGTCGTCGTCACAGACTCGATAGCTTATTCAGCGTCACACCGTCACAGACTCACGGTGATGTTAGTGAACCACTGTAGTCGAACCCCCCGCTTTGGAAACTGGTCAGCTTTAGAACCCCCCGCTTTGGAAACTGGTGAGCGTCACGCCATCACAGACTCACGGTGGTCCACTATCTTTACCACGTCAACGACTGTAGTTCAAACCCGCAAAGAGAAACTGGCCAGGTTTTTGCTGGTACTCTTGCACTTGTGCGGAGTTGTGCCGCGATATGCAGGGTTATGCATTTTTTATATTCTTGACGTCTGTTTCTTTCGTTTGCTTCAAAATATCACTCGTGCATGTATAATTGTGATGATCATACAAGTTGAGTGTGTTCTATATGCCCACGCACCGATGTAAAGCACGTATGAATCGGTATGGTCATGTTCAAATTGATTCAGTTAGCATGGAGCTTTGGTAGTAGTAGATCCACATCTGCGGCCACTCTCTTTTGTCCTCTCTTCTCCTCTTCTCCCCATTATGTGAGAGCCTGAGAGTCTCTGAGACGGAATTTGCAAACGCAACAAAGATTGACCCTGAGGCTTGCAGCTTGGCAATGCTTGCTTTTCATCAGATTGGCATAATTCTGACTAATTCATACTGAGCCTTGTTGTGTGGGCTGTGTGCCTGTGTGTGCATTGTGACGAGACGCAGCAGCCACACACAGCAGTGAGCACCACGTGGCACGCGGATCTTATGCCATCTGCTGCAGCGGCAAAGGAACAGCAGTTGGTAATCGTCGTGGTGATAGTGGTGGTATTGGTGCAGACGAAGAAGATGTTGTGGTAGTGGTGGTGTTGGTAGAGTCTGATGTAGTACAGACGAAGAAGATGTGGTGGTAGCCACACGCCCGTAGCACTGTAGCGTAGTCGATGTGGTTAAAGGAATGCCAGTAGCAGACACAGACGCTGTATCGCTTCGTTCGCGATGTGCATGTACGCGCGGAGTATGCGGGTCGCAGAACATGGTGCTGGCACATACAGTGTTGGTTATCGTGCCAGGAATGTTTTTTTTTTTTTTTTTCGTCTTTTCCCTTTTTCTGTGTCTGTTTTCCTTTTTTTTTGGTCCTTTTCCTTCTTTTTTTCGTGTGTGTGTGTGCGTGTGCAGTATGCATGGGGGGTTCTGGCCGCACCGCGGAATGTCAGCCTGCGGCTTGGAAAGGGCAGAAAATGCCCTAGCAGGATCAAACACCCTACCAAAGCCGCCTTGGGTGGTCTTCCACAGGCTTCCAGGCTTTCACAGTTGTGCAACCACCCCCCTGGCTACCCCCTTAGTGATTCCCGTTGCAATGTGCACCCTCGGTCCCCCGCAGGTTCTCATCCCCCCAAAACCCCATCCACCCCCAGGGCCCCCACCTCAACATACCCCAGTGGCCCAGCCCAACACGCAGGCCTGGGCAGAAAGCTGCCCCCCGACCGGGCCCACCCCAAAGCAAACATTGTCAATCCAAACACCCAAAGTTCCAAACACTTCTCCTGGGCCCTAGCCCAAACAAAACCTTTTTTTTTTTTTTCTTTTTTTGTTTGTTTAAGGCCTGAAAGGGCAGTCATAGTATATTGATGGCCTAATAAAACACATTACTTTGTTGAAAAAGTAGAAAAAAAAATCGAGAAACATCCTGAAGTTTTTTCTCCTCTTATTTTAGGGAAATTTAGGGGCAAGTACGTTTGGAATTACACCCAACGTTCAGAATACGCAACTTTCGCAGGTCCGGAAATTATGGTGCAAAAAAGGCGACCCCCTAGGCTAATATGCCAAGCGCCACTGCGGGTAATGATGGGTGCAGTTTTGGACCCCCGCTGAGCTTGCACATTTCGAAACTCACACCATGACACGGGTGCCATTTTCTCTTTTCTTGCCTATTTCAAACTAAAAGTGTGTCACAGCCACAATTTCCCCTTTATTTTAAATTGTTCCATAGTACACTTGCAGGCCTACCCGCCAGGGGGGGGGGGGCGAAGGGAGAAAATTTCGCAGAAAATTCAGCCACGGGCCGCCTACAACAGGGCAGGGTACAATTTTTTGAATGTGCATACACCGCGTAGTATGTGGGGTCAATTTTCTTTTTTGCAACACGTACGGATCCGTCAGCTTTTGATTTCGCAAAGGCAAATGCCCATTATGTCCTCAATGCTCATGGTGGGAGTTTGAAATGGCAATTTGGCAATTTCAGTCGAAATAGATCCGTTGACGGCGTTGAGTCGTTGACCCCTCAAATTGCCTAAATGGCAGAGTGCGTTGATGTCACACCCCTGACAACAGAGTTCCAACTCTTCCGGGTAGACAAAAAAGAACATGCGTCAGCAAAACAAACAGCCGCTGAGTCAAAAAATTCATTGAAAGTACCACGGCCGTGACGAAGGTACAATTGTCATAACTAGTACAGGGGCAGGCCGTGGTCTCAGACAGGAAGTGGTAGTGGTAGTGGTAGTGGTGATATTGCGTGTGGTGGTAAGAAGAGGAGCAGTAGTACTATGCTGCAGTAACTGTAACAATACTGCCGTCTTCGGCGTCTTCACCCAAATAGAACACGGGGTCATTATAGCTGCATGAGCCTGCATCTGGACTGGAAGTTGCACTAAATAGAGCGATAATGACCGGGAAGCGGTTGAGGACGGTAGTACGGTAGTAGAATAGTCATAAGAGTACTAACAGAAGTATAGTCATACCAATAGTACTAGCAGAAGCAGAAGGCACTGTCGTCCCCCGTAAGTCGTACAGGGGGTCTCCGTATGGCCCGCGCGTATGGACGGACAAACGGGCATAGGGGTGTACGGACAACGGCCGTACGATGGTGATTTAGGGGCAAAAAAAAAAGAAGAGAAAACTAGGGCGCGGTCAGGGTTACAGTTAGAAAATGCAGTCCAAACTGTCTTTCTGCAGTCTAGTCAGGACCCAAGTTAAAAATGCAGTCCAAACTAGACTAAGCAAAAACGTCGCGCCGCTAAGTTTCAAAAAGCAGTCTAGTCACCCACGTCGGAGGGCCCAGAAGAGGCCCTGGCACAGGCCCGTGGGAGCGTGAAAAAGCCTGTGGTCCACAGTCTGCCCGGTAGCTTGCGCTCCACTGTCTGCCCCGGGACCGTGATCCGGTTCGTAACACAGAGAGACAGAGCTGGTACGCGCACACGTGCACACACACACACACACACACACACACAGAGAGAGAGAGAGAGAGAGAGAGAGAGAGAGAGAGAGAGAGCCTCGCTCCACTACTCTCAACATGCAAAGGAGACAGAAATCATGGCGATGTATCTATCCATGTTCTAGCGGAAAACTCACTCTCATTTTGCACATTTCGAGAGTAGTGGACTCTCGTTTTGCACATTTCGAGAGTAGTGGATCAAGGGCGCGGGATAGATAGATAGATAGATAGATAGATAGATAGATACGC